ACAAATAATGGAGAATGGGTAAGGGGGTTGGTTACATAATGGAAGGTATTAGCACCCAAAACGTCTATAGTACTCTATAGGAGCCCTTTGAAATATCTACGCTTTTTGGTTTGAAAATGTTGCTTGAAAGGAGATTGGGGAGGTGAGAAGAGAAATATTTTTAATATTTTTGTGTTTGGAAGACTTATCGCATCATGCCTACGTATCCAAAAGTGCAATATAGGATCAAAACCCCGTGTTCATGGTACAAATAACAAAAATAGTTTGTTTTGATTGATTTTAAATGTAAAGACAAGTCGTCATTTTAAGGAGAAAACTACGACTAGTCACCCGCAAGTATAAGAACAACATTTGCATCACCTAAAGATGGAGGATCTTGCTTGGATTAAAATCAACAAGTCTATCACTCAACATCTAAGTGGAAAATGTCAACATCTTAAGTATTATGGGAAATAGCAGAATTATATCTCAACTATGAAAATGACTCATGTCTAAAATTTAGGAAATTTTTTAAAATGATAAGTGCACAAAGGCACAAAAAGTTTGAATGAGGTGAAATGTTTCTTTTATATCTTTTTGAATTGGTCAAAATATGATTAACATTGATTGACATTTATTAAAGAAAACAAAAGTTTGAAGATCACTTGACAAAAGTGAAGATTTTTATTGTGAAAGCGGTTTTAAATTTGAAAATAAGAAGTTTTTGAAAAAGGGAGAAGATTTTGAAAATTTAAGAAGGGGAGGAGAAGAAGTGACTACCATACAAAGCAAATAAAAGCTAGAGATAAGAAGATCTAGCAGAATTGTAGCACACTCCATAGCAAGTCAAATAAGAATTTCATCCATCTTGAAGCATAAGCAAATGAGCAATCCAAATAAAGGCAAAGAACCATATTACTCCAGCATAGGAAAAGAGACCATTCTAAGTCGAAGGGTCCAAGAATAGTCCAAGAGGTCCAAGGTCTAAGAATAGTCCTAAAGCATAATCACAAAGTTAAGAGCACCAATTTTTTTAGAGGTTTAATCCTTTATTAGTGTTTTGAACAAGATATGGTCCAAGTTGACAAAGGGAAAATGGCGGAAACATAAACAATAATATGATATGAGATGATAATAATGGAGCATAAAAATAAAAGAAAGATAGGGAGCAAGAAGGAAACATAAACAAAATTAGTACAATAATATTGTTAGTGAGTTAGTGATTAGTTGTTAGAACAAATGATCAACGATGGTTAACTCATGCACTTAGGCCAAGGTTAATGAAGACTCATTAGAGGATTGATAAAATCAAAGCCTCCTAATAACAAGTTCATAGGTAATGGACCTAAGACAAATAATCAACCATACTTAGACTTTCAAACATAAGTTTGAGCCACAAATGATCATTTTCCGATTACGGGACAATTTAGCGCTATGTTAAGCAATTGTAATCGTGTTTATCTAGAAACCCCGACTATCTGAGGTCGATTAATAAAAATGTTAGTGCTAATGCATGCTAGAGAAGTGATATGTAGATCACTCTTCGAAAGCAATACCGCACAAAAAGAAAATGGGTAACGATCTCATCTTCATCAAGAACTTGAAATAAGTTCAAACGATATCGAAGATTTTCATCGATCAAAAGAAAAAAGAAAAGGAGAGGGAATACCAAATTGAATTACAAATTCAAGGTCATTCCATCTTTAAGTTCATTCACTCATCTTAGTGGATTAAATCACTAAACATGTCATTAACTCAAACACCTAAAATGAAAATCTATAATTCACTTTAAAGATAGATTTGAATTAGTGAATGTTTATCCAACTTCATCTACACCCTAAGTCCAATGAATTTAAAGAGGAAAATGACCTTTAAAAGTGTATTCCAAGGCAAAAACCAAAAGGAAATGGAAGAAGAAGAAGAAAAAACTAAAGCAGTCCAAACAAAGCCAAAAAGCCAAAATCAACACCGTGGTAATCAATTACCACCAGGAGGGTAATCGATTATCGCTGCTAAAACAACAACAAATTCACTTTTAAAATGTGCAAAACTTGATCAATCATATCTTCAAACACCTCATGATCAAGGATGCAATTGAGCACGAAAATTCAAGTAAAATAACAACAATCAACACCAATAGAACACAATTTGCAAGATCCAAAGATCAAGCAACAAGAATCAACAATAGATCATATTGTGTAGGATGTATCAAGAACAAAAATGGTGGATCAAGAGATTACCGCTTCAAATCTGAAAATTCTTCAAATCAACTCCAAAAACCACACTCCAAGCCTTGATCTACTGAAATTGATGATTGAAAAAGTGAATGGATGAAGGTTTAGCTCAAAGATTAGTAAGTTCTAATGATGAATTTACTAACTTTAAAGGAATAAAGAGCTTTGGTGAATTTGGTAGTTGGAGAAAATTGGGAGAGTCAAGAAGAAATTTGACAAGGTGATTTGACTATCAAAAGCTTGTGAAATGAGAGAAATGGGGTCTCTATTTATAGGAGTTAGGCTTGAAAATTTGGTGGATTGGAGTTTGGTTTGGAAACAAAATTAGACTTGGAATTTGAGTTTGGAGGGAAATTGATGATCTAGTGGTGATTAGTGAAGGTGTATGGTGGGAATTAATTATGATGAGGTAGAGGAATTAAAATGAAGTGATCTAAAATATTCTCATGATGAAACATTTGAATTTGGTGCAAAAAATGTTGCAAAATTTGAATTTGGCTAATTTTCACAAAATGCGCACAAGGTAATCGATTACCCTAATGCTGGTAATCGGTTACCACAGTAAAAAAATATGAAAATTTGCTTTTTTGATGTGCTGTCTTGGCTCTGGCTCGATTCTTTTGCTTGTCAAAGAAGGCATAGAAATAAACACATGAACTTTAGAGTCTCTTGAATAATCAATCAATTAAATTTTAGGAGACTCTTGATCAGATGATTTTGAATTGTTTGCAGGTCAACTTCGACTTTATTCAGATGAAATTCATTCGAGCTGAGGGATTGGTATTTGATATCCTTGATCCAAATTCTTCCTGAAAAAGTTAGTAAAGAAAAAACAAACTTTTTTTTTTTGGATTTTGAATAATGGTTAGTAAACATAAACATAGACAAATATCAAATAAACAAGAAAACGAAGGTGCTCGGTGATCTCTCAAGCATAAACACACAGAGGAAGCAAGAGAACCAAAACTTGCGATCTCAAGAGAACCAAAACTTGCGATCTTGTTTATGAAATGAGATGCAAATGATATGTGGGATCTTAGGGGTAAAAATTAGGGTATTACAAGTAGAAAAGGCTGATGGTAAAAGCTTGGGAGAATGATACTTGGATATATGAGGTTGAGGAAAAGAAGTAAGGAATAAAGGCATAAGCTTTTTGATAATTGCAATTGCTCTGATAGAGTGCTCTCAAGAAGGAAGAAAAAAAGATATTTGCTAATAAGAGCGATTATGGTTGAACAATCCAGATCAACAGTGAAAATGAGTTACGAAAGCAAGAACTAGATTTCTCTTTGAAAATGCAAACAAACTCGAATGCACTATAAGCAGCGTCATACCCTAAGTGGTTATTTCAGACCATGTGTCAAGAAGAAGCGATGAAACGTTTCAACAATGGAAATGCATTTAATATGTTTGTTCCCTACTACAATTTCAACTGACTCCAAACGTTTAGCTTCTAATTCGAATCTGAAAACATTCTAGGAGGTCGGCCTCAACTGCTAAAGGCTTTCCCGACTTCTTAAGTACTCGACAAGCCTTGGTGGCAACTGTTATAGGTCGGCCAAACGGCTAAGACCCAAATCAACTCAAACCCACTCCACTGACTCAATGTATAATTAAAAGCATTCTTACACTCAAAATAATGTACACTTTCTAATCTTCACTTTTTACTACAATTATCTTAAATATTAAATTGATTTGAATATTGGAGTATTAGTTCACTTCGTATTACTATATCAAAGGCCAATAGTATTCAAAATTACACACCCCTTACTTCAAATATATATATATATATATATATATATATATATATATATATATATATATATATATATATATATATATATATATATATATATATATATATATATATATATATATATATATATATATATATATATATATATATATATATATATATATATATATATATATATATATATATATATATATATAATTTGCCATGTTGTAACATTGTCAGAGTCGACATCTATTATTTTATTGGCCATGCTTATCCTACTGGTCATATGACACAATTAATGCACACGTGGTTTTGAGTAGAGAAATAGATATACAATGGGGTGATAAATGTTCATGAGTTGGACATGGCAAATTTTAGATTTTTTTTTTTGTTGACACATGCCTAAGTTTAGATACAACCATATGCATGACTCTATTATAACCATATGCATGACTCTATTATAACCATATGCCTAATCTCTATATTTTCTTACATTCATTCTACACTTTAAATCTTCTTATATTCATTCAACACTATATTTTTTATAATTATAACATTACAAATATATTACATAATTTATTTAATTTTTTATATATTTTAAGATGCATATAATCTATGGAGTTTACATCAAACTTTTTCCTTTTACATATAGTTCTGATAAGAACATTGTGGGGAGCTTTACATGATTAAAATTATAAGCATGATTAAATATTTATCTCATTATCATAATAATTAAATAAACAAATCTTGTATTATATCAATAGAATAATGTGGTACCAAGAAAACAGATCATCATTATGTAAGATAATACATGTCAATAGTAAATCTTTTATATCTTCTCCATCCCTAACTAAAAATTATTAATTCGACCCTCATCTCTGAATCTCTGAATGTTAACTTCTAAGATAAAGATCTCTAAGATAAAGATGAATTAGTCTTTATGCGATAGAATTAATCTTTACAGTTAAGCAATGCACTTAAATTAATCTACATATTATTTTATAAATTTTCACAATCATTGTATATGGTAGTAAAGAGTCAACGCCTCCTCAAAAACCAGCTAGGTAACAAAACCAAACGCAAACAATGAACGCAACCACCATAGAAACACCATCACGTTCCTTCTGTCTTCTATATTTCTTCTCTCTCCTCTCCCTAATCATACCCAAAAATGTATCAAACCTCTCTATCATCTCTCCCACTTCACCCACTTTCTTCCTCTCCCCAAACTCCATCGCTTTCTGCAAAATCACAACCCCTTCTTTCCCACTCACCTTCCCTCCTTCCATATCCTCCATCACTAAATTCACCTCCCTCACGTGCAACTCCCCTCCGACTTTCCCACAGCACGTGACCTTCACCATACACTGCACTCTCTCCGTCGCGCGTCGCGCCTCCCCCGCCATCGTCACTGCAAATAGAATCTCCACGTCTCTTGTTAGCCAGTGCCGCCGTACTAAAACCGGCTTCCGACTCGAAACATTCGCCGATCGTTTCCCGATCGGATCGATTAGGATCCAGCTTAAACATAAATTCTCTTCCAAATGCCTCATCAATTCTTCGCCTTTTCTTACGAACTTCACCGGCGTCGGAACTAACTCGTTCGGTTCCAGAATTTCAATCCATAGCGGCGAGGAGAGAAACGAGTTCTTCGTTGTTTCGGTCCGCCGAACTCTCGAAAATACCGGCTTGCCTTTGTAGAAAATATCCACGGCGGAAATGATCTCCGGCGGAGGAGGAGACGACGGACAATTTGAATTGCAAGAGAAATGATGAAGTGCGGGGAATGCGTCGGAGAAGAGCGAACGGTGGCGGTTTGGGAAAGTGGAGATGATGTGGCAGGTGGTGGGGTCTACTAGGGAAGGCCACGTGGCGGTGCAGATTTTTCGCCAGAGATTGTCGTCTATACAGAGGTGGCGGAGGTGAGAACAAGTGGAGGCGGTTGTTGCCAGCGTGGCGGCGTCGAGGCGTGTGAGGATGTGTGTATGGATAATGTCATGATGCATGGTGAAGATGCTTGATGTTGTAGATAATGATGATGATGCAGCAGCCATCATGCTTTCGGTTTTTGTATCCGGCGGTATTGAAGCAATAACCATGATCTTATGAGTTATGAACACAAATTTTATATTTTAGTTTTGAATTTTCTGAATCCTAGATAGATATGAAAAGGGTGAAAATATGAAATGTGAAATATTTATAATTCCAATGGATGAATAAGAAAATAATAAGAAATGTTACTTGGATAGGTACAACCTAAAGAATAATTGAAGGGGTGTGTTATTTATAAAGGGGTGTATAATTAATTTAGATGATATAGTTGGAATGATGAAGAGTCAAGTCAATGTTGGTTGTCACGTTTGTCCACATATGCGAAACTTCATCACATCATTAGTAAAGTATTAACATTCAAACCCTTATATTTCGGATTTGATATTGTTCGTCTTTTTCCATCATCTTCCTCTTGTAGTTGTCAAAATTTTATTTTTCATAGCCGTCTTCCACTATGTAGTCATAATTGATTCATTTAAAAAATTGACTTGATAAGAAAATACCATGAGAATATATGCTCTTTATATTTTTAAGGGTCTTTGTATATGGACACCTACTCTCTCTCATAACTTTTTAAATAATGAATTCTTTTTAGTTCACTATAACCTTAAGCAGCCAAACTATTTTTATTTCTTATCATATATCTTTATTCATTTAATGTATTTTCGAATTTCCACTTGATTTTAATAACATGTTTTCTTTTGAGTCTTGGCAATAGAATTCAAACATCATTTGATTTAATTTTTCTTGCATATTCAATATTCAATATTTATTCCGTGTCTGGCAGGGATTTATCAGTTGGTTTTGTGATAGACATCAAATTGAGAAGCATTTCTTCATCTTGTCTAAATGAAGAATCGATTTTTATAGACATCAAATTGAGAAGTATTTCTTCATCTTGTCTAAATGAAGATTCAATTTTTATAGGTTTTGTCTTGTCCCTCTGAATCAGTTCTTCGGAATAGATATTTTGATGCTGGTGTGTCATCAACTTTTGGTGTTGATTATTCAGTTTGATGTTGAGCATTTTCAGAGTCTTTATCCTTAGAGTCTTTGTTTTCAGAGTTTAAATAGATAATTTTCAAACCTACAAACTTTTCAGCTTGCTTTAACTTTTCAGAGTCAAACTTATCATTAAACTTAACATGAATTGGTTCCTCAACAATTTTGATATTAGTGTTATATACTTTATAGCCTTTTGAGCGTTCAAAGTATACTAAAATGATACACTTTTGAGCTTTAAAATCAGTTTTATTTAAGTTGTCTTTAGTATCGATCATAAAACAAATACGATCAAATGGATGAAAGTAAGAAATGTTGAGCTTTCTGTTTTTCTAAAATTCATAAGGAGTCTTATCCAGAATAGTTCTTATAGAGATTTTGTTTTGAATCTAACATGCAATATTCATTACTTCTGCCCATGAGTGATTTGCAACATTTGTCTCATTGATAATAGTTTTAGCCATTTCTTGCAAAGTAAGATTTTTCATCTCTACAACTTCATTCTGTTAAAGAGTTCTAGGATATGAGAAATTATGAGAGATGTCATTATTTTCAAAAAGTTTTTCAAAATCTTTATTTTTAAATTCACTACCATGATCACTTCGAACTTTAACAATTGTTAAACCTTTCTTGTTTTGCATTTGTGAACAAAAAGTAGTAAACACAAAATGTGACTCATCTTATGTCTTAAGAACTTTACCCATGTCCATCTGTTGTAGTCATCTATAATGACTAATTTATATTTCTTGCCATTTAATGAAGTTGTTTTAATTGGTCCAAACATATCAATATGTAAGAATTCCAGAGACCTGGAGGTGGAAACAACATTCTAAGCTTTAAAATAAGTTTTAGAAAATTTGTCTTTCTGACATGCCTCACAAAAAACATCTAAAGAAAACTTTAGATTTGGAAGACCTCTAACTAAGTTTAGCTTGTTGAGCTTAGAGATTCTTCTCATTCTAACATGGCCCAACCGTCTATGTCAAATCCATTGTTCTTCATTCACTGGCATAAGGCATATTACATTTTGATTTTCTAAATAAGAAAGTTTGACTTTATAGATGTTATTTTTTCTCTTACCACTGAAAAGCCATCCTTTTGACTCAAAGCTTTACAAGACTTTTGATTAAATATAATGTCATAAGCATTCTCACTTAACTGATTTGTGGATAAGATGTTATGCATTAGACCTTTAACTAATAAGACATTTGTAATATAGGGAAGAAAACTTTTACCATTTTTTCATGTACCAATGATCTTACCCTTCTGATTTCCTCCAAAACCTACAGAACCTTTAGGCTTAAGTTTCAGCTCTTGGAACATATGCTTCTTTCTGTCATGCGTCGAGAGCACCCAGAGTCCAATTATCATGATTGGTGTCTCAACTTTGTTGTTTATAATATGTGCAACATATATTATTTTGTTCTTAGGTACCTACATCTTTTATGGTTCTTAATGGCTAGTTTTCCCAAATATTTTATCAACCCTGGATTTTTGTGCAAAATAGATATCGTGTGTGTGACAATAAGTAAAATGAGAATACAGAGCTTTTGGTTTTGTCACCATTTCTTTAGGTTTAGATTTAAACATGGAGTTCTTTAGTGGAACATAATCAATGCCTATTTTCCAATTTCTACTTACTCCATAGATCATGGAAGTCATCTTACTTCTATCGATGTTTCTTTCTAGAAATTTTTTAAAAGATGTTTCATATTTCTTTAAGAGACATTCAGAATCCATACGAGCTTCTGAAAGAATTCCCTTCTCTAGTTTTTCACTCTTGCTTTCGAGAGCCGAGTTTTCTTTTTCCAAACTATCATTTTTTTTCTTTTAAAATAGGATTTTATTTTATCAGCTCACTATGGGATCTAGAATCAATTACATGAATATGTTTAAGATTCTTGTATCTTTTCTAGAGTCTCTGACTCTTTTCAAGAATTTCAACTAAGGATAATTCAAGTTCATAATGAGTTAAATGAGAAAATACTTCTTTAGTGTCTGAATTTGATTCTGATTCAAAGACTTCAATGCTATCCATAAGTGCCATGTTAGCTTGCTCATCTTCATAGTCATCCTCAGAAGAGTCAGAGTCATCCCATGTTGCCATTAGCACTTTCTTCTTCTCTCTGAAGAATTTCTTCTTAGGATTTTCTTTATCGAGTTTGGGACACTCATTTTTGTAGTGGCAGAGATCTTTGCACTCGTAGCAGATAACCTCTTTGTCAGCTTCAAAATTCTTCTACTTATTGGTTAACTCAAAGCGTCCACTTGTTCTTCTATAGCCTTTGGGTTTCTTTTATCTTTGCTTTTAGAGTTAATTGACGCTTCTAGATAGTAGAGACAACTTGTCCTCTTCATTAGACCTTCTTCAAACTCTTCTTCTTCAGCTTTAAGATCTTTATTCTTTTCAGGCTTGCCTTTAGACTTTAGAGCCATAAACTTCCCTTTTCTCTAGGGCTCATCCTCTTCTAGCTCGATCTCATGATTCATTAGAGTGCTTACAAGCTCTTTTAGCGTTGTGTTATTCAGATCCTTTAACACCTTTAGTGTTGTCACCATTGACCTTCATTTCTTTGGTAGGCTTAACTTGCTTTAGATTGATCATCAATTATTAGCATTTTTCAAATCTTTTGTGCTGTTTCGTTGGATTTACTCCATGATATCAGATTATTCTTCAATATTGTGAAAATACCTTTGATTGCTTTGATTTATGTGTTATTGTAAATAATTAGGCACAAAAACATCAAAGTGTAATACACAAGCAATTGGGCAAGGAAGCCAAAGGAAAAGAAGAATTTCAGCATGTTTGTGGTGTGAATAGTCAGTGAGGAGTGCTAGTGAATCTTTGCTGTGTGGAATTCATGGTGAAGTCTGTAACACCCTTCTAAACCCCACATAATAAAACTTTAATAAATAATCATTCTTTCAAGGTTTCACTTCGCATGTAGCAGCGGATTCAATTTATATCATAATTCTTGTAACAGAAACATTTCATGTTCATCACATAAATCAACATTACTTAGGCACTAAGGCCAACATCATAATATTCCGATGAATAAAAAAACATAGCGTAGAGTACATAATGTATCTCTAAGACATAAACCAAGCGATCCAGTGTTACATGACCAGAGCATGACTCGACCCAACATAATTAAAATACTAAACAACTGCACCAACAGCAACCTCGTAACTAAGATTTAATTAAACAATGACTCTGTGTAATCAAACTTCCAGTACATGACTTTTCTAAATTTTAGCTAATGCAATCGATTGTAGTGAACATGCAATCGATTGGACATGTGAAAAATTCACTTATTTTAGCTTTTGTACAACATGCAATCGATCGGAGTTATTCTGCAATCGATTGTATGACTCAATTTCTCATATTTTTAGCTACTATTTTTAAGTGCAATCGATTGACATCTTAGTGCAATCGATTGTACCTTTGAAAATTTCATCATTTTAGCTACTGTTTTACCGTGCAATCGATTGGCATCTAGTGCAATCGATTACTCAGTTCAAAAATTCAATTTCCAACAGCTTTGCTAAGTGAGCAATCGATTGTAGCCTTAGTGAAATCGATTGCTCACTGTGCGTTTTGAAAATTGTTCAAAAAATTGTATTTTCACACCAACCATTCCCTTCTTTGTTACAATAATCGATCCCCTCATATTAGGGCATTCATAACAATAAAAAATTCACTAAATCACGGGAAATATAAGGGTTTTCCCTACACAAACTTCTACCCATTAATCATTAACCCACAATCCCAACAATGAGAGAATTCCCACCCTTACCTTAGGTTTTTCTTTGGGAACAATCCTTAATTCCTTGAATGCTTGAATCTGAGTTTCTCTCTTCCACTATCTTTTCCTCTTGCCTCCTTCTCTTCTTCTCTTCTATGTTCTCTATTCTCTTTTTCCCCATTTTCCTTCTCTTACTACTTCTCTTCTCTAAAACCCTAATTCTTAAGTATTGGACTTAACCCAATTCACTTACTATTCACACACTACACTAACTCACTAATTCTAGAAATCAATCATCT